ACGTGTGCCAATGCCCCGTGGGAAACAGGGGACCGGCGGCGCACGCGCACCTGTCTATACTATCTGCTGGCTTTGTACAGTTATTTGCATACTGTTACTTTTTGCCCTGCTGTATGAGAATGTATTGAGGAATTTATTGGTAAATATATCAAGTACGTATCTTAGGACCAAATTGCTAAAAAATACGGTCCTTCCTTATTGAAAAAAAATGTACCAGACTTAAAAATGCAACCATGACTTAACCCGGTTCACTGAAGGTTTTTACGAGCAACATACACATAATATTAATTATGATTATCCTGTCTGCGCGTCACACACCAAAACGGTACTTTTACATATTAACAAACGTCATATTTTGATCGCAGGGACGAAGTTGCCAGAGATGAAAAATTCCAATAATGTATGAAACTATAATAACATCCTTATCAATGCATACGTCACGGTATTAACAGCTGTATATAATATACATTATCCATTGACTAATTCGCTTCATAATATATAAGGAAATATGTTTCTGAATAAACTTATTGACGCAGGCACTTAGTGGGAATTATTGGCTATGTGTGTGACCTCAAGGAACAAATACATGAACCTTACTAACTTCGCTCCAAATATGAAAGTTCCGAAGCCTTAAAATTTATCTTTTTGTTTAACAAAACCTTACTGACGCAGTTAAAGTACTTTATACGTTTTCTTTTACAATGAATGAAATATTTTAGGGGAAATTCACGGCTCTGTTTTCGCCAAATTTTAAATTTTTGAGACGTTTTGTTGTATCGTAGTCTTACAAGGTACATTATACCAGAATGTATTTTACTTATTTATTATTTGATCAAATATTATTGTTTCTGTAAATATTTATTTTCCTTTCGTTTACTGTTAATAAATGAAAATCAATAAAACCTGTTAGATACATATTTTATAAATACTTGAAGTCAATTTATCAAATTTGTTTACCGAAAAATAAACTTAAAACTATTCAATTTTCAATTCGAACGATTCATCTGTGTAAAGCAATTTATTTATTTATCTTGAATACCTAGTCTCAATTTATTGAAAGCTAAAAGCAATTTCCAATAATACCATAAACTAAGCTAGTTGACAAATACGTTGTGAAAACAGAAAAAAAATCTAACTTTTTAAGTCTATTTTATTTATACCTAAATCGGCTTACATAAAGACTCCGTATACTTAAAAATCGTATAATTTTTACACTTAAACTAAATCTATTTAGTTTTTGAATATAATTTATACTACAAATTTTATACAGCCATAAGTAGGTAGAAATGATGTTTGCTACTTTTTGAATGACATTTGTCGCTAAGATAGATTATAGTCTGGAATAACACATAAGCTATTTTTAATCTGGTAATACGGGCTATGGTAATATGCTCACAGAATCTAGCAAATAATATTTCTACGAAAGTGAAAAATTACATAAAATTAGGCCTATAAGCCATGAATAATTTAGGACATCAAAGGCTATGTTTTTATGTGAAATCCGTTAATATAACTGTAAAACAGACTTCGTTTACCACGAATAAATTTAAAATTATTTAAGAATAATGTATATTGTATGTCCATAATTATCTATAATAAATTACCAAATAGTCTACAAGATTTACCATTGACATTATTTAAGAAAATGCTTTTTAAACTTTTGATATCAAAGAATTATTATTGTATTAAGGACTATTTAGAAGATAAGACGATAGGATCTTGGTAGTGTAATTTTAATAATAGATTTGCAAGCCATACACGGCAGAATACGTTGAAAAAAAAATAAACTGTAACACCTTTTGTACCGTATTTTAGCAAATAAACATTTTTGATTTGATTTGATTTTGATTGATTTGATAAAAAAATAATGAAATATGTTCTATCAAAGACGTTAAGAAGTGTTTCGAAGAAATTACCTTTATATAGACAACACATATCACTACATAGTATAAAACAAAGTCGTTTTCGAGTGATTTGTTAGAGTAATTATGTTCCTTATAGAAACAAAAACTACTCGACAGATTTTAACGAAACTTGGTACAATTATTCTCCTTATTCCTGGGCAGGTTATATGACTTTTTATCACGCTACAATGAATAGGAGCAGAGCAGTGAAGGGAAATGTTAAGAAAACGAGAGAAGTTGCTCCATTTTTTAGCGTCGCCTGTGAAGCCTTAATCGTTAAGTACATAGAAATCACGTATTACGGGAATATCTTAAATGAAATTATCTACAAAATATCCCACAATAGCATATGTTTATCTTTTTTGGTTGACTCACAATAACACGTGCAACTCCTGATATAAAATAGTAGAGAAATTTGGTGTTAGCATTGCACCCGTGCGAAGCCGGGGGGGGGCGCCGGTAACATTATGAGAAATTATTGGAAAAATATGTATTTAGGAGGAGCATAATAGGTATATGCCACTCCAAGTAAAATGTTTTAAATCGAAGTCATTTGAAAAGTTGCCGCAAATGTCGAGTCAAGATTTGCTCAACAAGCAAAGGTCAGAGGCCAAACGTTCTGCGCAAATCTAAAAACTTTTGCTTCCATTGAAATGCTTTGCTTATAAGAAAGTAACTTTCTTTGAAATCATACCTCTACCATGTGCTTAGGTAAATATAATACTTCTAACAAAAAAATATTGCAATCAATTGACAATTCAAACATGGCGGCCGGAACAAACCAACCTCCAATAACTATCAGCTTTAATTGTTTGCGTAAAGTACATTAACATTGCCTACATATAAAATTAATTTATACGTACTTGCTACAGATAGCGGCCATAAATTACGTCCAGATATTCACAACTGGTATTTAATCAGCTTGCCTACTCAACTTTGAACTGTGAATGTACTAGGCTCTCATGAATAACTAGGAGACAGCTCGACCACTTACATCTGTTGTCCATACTTTCTAGGAATGTCCAACAGCTGTGTACTTCGTAGAAGAGAGCGCCTAATGATTTTTGGAGTGCTAGTTGATTACGATTTAATTTAGATCAACAACCTCAAGTTATCTGGAGAACATTGAAAGGAATTTCGTTTGAACCAAACACTAATTGTAACTTTCACAGACAATGAAAAAAGTTTTTAAAGTTTCCTAGTGTTTAACTACGGGATATTATTTTCACTCCAAGCGTCTTTTATAGAGGTTTCGTTCTAACTATCATTTGATCTTTATCTTTGTCAAACGATTCACCAACTTTATACTGTTGAATCTAGCGTGCCCATTAGTGTTTTGATAAAAAACATTTTACAATGGTATCAAAACGGAATCCCGAGACGTCAGATAACTCAAAGCGAAGTATTTGCTTTGTTTGTTCGACAAACAGCAGTTAGCAGTTGTTTACACACATTATTTTTACTTCGTTACTCTCTTCAAAGGTTGCGATAAATTGAAAATCTTTTGGAGCTCGTATTTGTTGAGCACTTACGATTCTTATGGAAAAAACTAAATAAAATTATGGAATATTTCAATCTGAATCTCCGTATAAGTTAGGTTTATTATTAAACTACAAAGCTTAAAGAAAAAGTCTGGAATTCTTCATTGGCAACTGCTCATAAAGATGTTATCATTGTATAAATATAGTATAAAAACCTTTCGATTATATTTAGGTACTACTTTAATATGCAAACCTCATAAGCATTATTTAAACTGGGTTTAACTTCTTAGAATCATTAAAAAGGTTGGTTAACAACAGTTTATGGTAGCACAAAGTTTCGAAAGGAGTTGTCGATGGCACGTTTGCGTCGTTATCGATATGTTTGTTAATTATTTACATACATTTATTATCTGTGTGCGTACGTGAGGCGCCATGTTTACGAACGCAACTTTATTTACCATTCTAACCTTAAAAAGGCTAATTTATGTCTTCTGTCTATTAAAGTAACGTTTAAATTGCTTAGACACGACTTATTTGTGCCTATAATTTGGCAGTAGAATTTTGTTGTAGACCTTTATTGATACTAAAGTTTCTAATTGAAATAATTATGTGATTTGCATTCGTGTCTTTGGTGGCGAATCTAATACTAAACTATCATTAATATTTAACTGTTGAATACAAATCAAAGATAAATATATTAACAAGTAGATACATTTTAAAGGTTCATTCAAGATCGTAAGTAACAAATACTTATGATAGCTTAGAGCGGCGACGAATTGAATGATGTCTACAAATTGTGTACCAAAGGACCAATTTAACTTTTACCATTGGCACCTTTGATATGTACAGTTAGTATTAACATATTTTAAGGGTACCCGGCAAACGAGCAGACAGATTGCTTGATGATAAGCAATCAACGCAACCAATCTTGATACCCACCACACCAGAGAAGTCACAACTGCGATGCCGGCCATCAATAACTAGTATTAGATATTCCAGTATAAAGGTGCTTAGATACTCGACCTGTTTGGCAAAACACCTTAAGTATGTTTATAGGAGTGGCTTAACAAAATATTTAGATACTGACCTATGTGAAATCTGTCATATCCATGGTGAATCTAACAGTTTACTAATAGGGTAAGGGTATACTCTAGTCAAATTGTGGGTAAATAGTATAAATTAAGTAATACTAATAATACTGATTGTACTTAAGCAGGTGTGAAATAAGGTTCAATATTGACTAATGTCATTATAAAAGAATCCAATTAGAAATTAAACACTTCTACACAGAAAAAAAAACTTCATACGCACGACACTATAAGACCATTTAAGACTAACTAATGCCTAATTTAAAAACAGAACAAAGTTCATAAAATTTTTAAAAGACAGGTAAAATATTTGCCCACTATTATTATTTATTTAAAATCACACCTTCAACAATGTGAAAGCATGTGATAGTACACTCACAAGTACCATACAACCGCATCTGACTGATAAAAGCATTTGCTAATAATATGTAACATCATATTATGAAGATATAACATGTTTACGCATACTAAAATACACAACACTAGTTAAACAAACAAAATTAAAATAAATAAATAACACCAATTACCTTCAGCCATCGCCTTCTGGTCTCCGTCAAGAAATCGGAAAGCACCATCTTGAGCACTGATAAGATGAAGAATACTTTGCTTAGTTATTAAGTTACGAGAGTACGCGTGCGGGCGAACTTGGCGTTGCGGGCGACGTGCGAGCTCACTGACTGTCACTGAGGGAATGTCGGAGGCCGGAGGGCCGCTCGCTACGACGCTACGCGGTCCTTCGCTTCCCCTCCCCCGCATTCACACACAACGCTCTTTAACATTCGCACAGTCTTTGGTCCTTCGGGACTTTGGTCCTAAGGGACACTACTGCGGTTATGATTGTTTAATAATCGAATTAAAAACGAAAAAAAAATTACGAAGTATGAGAACAATCAACTAAATTGATTCCGAAAGGGGGTGGAACTGTGGGAGATAAAGTAATTTTATTTAATTTTTGGTATGTCTATTGTAATAGAATTAGCGGGACAGCAAAATGTAAATTGATTAGTTGTATTTGACGTAGCCATTTTTTTGATGGTAGGTTTAGTTACAGAATTGAAATGTGAACCTATCATTGTGACCTGCGTAAAATTACTTTTATTTTTATCGGTTTATTTACCCCTTAACTCTAACGAAATGTCTCAAAATAACATTAATGACCTTATTTTTTATTGTAATTACAATTTATTACCGTGAGCTTAATGAGTGGATTGTCTACGCGACGTCGCTGCGACGCGCACGCTTCTCATAACCAAGAGTCCCGTTGTGCCTTAAAACTAATAGAGTTTTTTTTAGTTACTGAATTCACTGAGAAAAGTCGTTGCTTCCAATAAATTTAACATGCCTCACAATAGTACAATCAATGACCTTGATACTTAAGGCTGCGCCTGCGATTACAAGATCAATAGAGCAATTTATGTAACAATGGAGTCAATTATCTCGCTGAAAATATTTACTTATCTACAATAGTAATAACAGTGCAGTCATCCTTCTGGTATGAAGATGAAGTTTAATTAATCTGAAGCAATTACGTTGTACACACCTTATTTTTCAACCTTGCCTTACCTTGTAATACTTATACATAATAATTTTTATACATCGCCGAAGTAAAATAAAAATAAGAACAGTGAGGTAACTGCGAAAAGCTCTACCAGTTTCAAGTCGCATCGGGACTCTTGTTCATCAAAAAAGAAGAGTATGCCTATACTAAGTAAGTAGGTAGTGAAACATTTCACAATTGAAACCTGCAAACAGTTACAACATTCCATTACAACAAGTTCGTTAATCTTATCGCGATGTTATCATCATGCAAATTGACAATAGTACGAGTGAAATGTGAAAAGAGACAATAATTTAACGTGTTAGAACTATGACCCGACACAAATGGGGCGACTTGACCGCATAGGTATCACGGCTTTAACCGTGAAACAACGCTTATGTTATGTTTTGCTCTGTGAGGGAGGATATCTTCTTCCATTCCATTCATAGTGATGTTGCGAGTGTCTTTAAACGGCGTTATACCTTAAGCATGGAGGCCCAGGCCGGCCAAGAGCAGGAGAAGGAACTGGGGGGTTTTTAGTCAGTAAGACTCTGACACTCCCTCCTGAAGTCATTTGATGATTTTCCATTCAAAAAAAAAAGCATAAAAGAAACCGTTAGAAAATAATATATATTTATTTGTCAAACATAGTATTAACAATATAAAGATCTTAGCCAGGGTTGCGGAGCTAGCGCAATAAGGTACCGCGGCCTCGGCCTAAAGCAGGAGAATAAAAGGCGGATCTTTAGTCAGAAAGAGTCTGACACTCTCTCCCGCCTTATCCTAGGCGAAAACAGCCATTTGATGATTTTCCCCTCACAAAAAAGGCTTTAAATTATTAGAACGCAATGTTTTGTCACCAAGATATTTAGGTATTGTGAATTGGGCTATTCGTTTGCCAACCCTATTGTATAAAAAATGTTTCGTATCTAAGGCACGCGTCATACTATCGCGGGATCGACAAAATACAATGTACCATTGTGCTCTTGCTTAGGGTCGCAGGGACTCAATGTAACGTTGTGGTTGCAAATCAATTCGTTGTGGTCCTAAGAGCCGAGATATTTATTATTGTGTATTTATTTAATGAAAATATACGATTTTCATTTCGATAGTGGTTTTTGAATTATATATAGGTATATAGTAATGATTGTATATTAAAAGGTTGCTATTTTTGACGAAAAAGCCACAGAGTTCGGTATTTTCGGTTTTCCTTAAAAAAAGATAGGTTATTAATAATTGATATTAATTACATTTTATACTTTAAATATGTTCTTACCAAGTGCATGTACTGATTAACATAGTATAGGGCGGCAAGTATGCATACTGTCTACCTGAAGGTAAGCAATTAGAGCCGCATATCGCCAAACACAAGCATAGTTTACAAGTGCACTGTTCATCGTAACAGCGAGACATGCAAAAACAATTTGCAAAAAATACAGTGCGGCCGACGTATCTTGGCGAGTCTGAAGTTAGCCGATTAGCTGCGCAGTACACAATTTTGTTCCTAAAAGATCCATTGCGCAAACAAATGGCTAACTTCAGACTCGCCAATATTCGTCGGCCGCACTTTACATGGGTAAAACTTTAAATTTCTATAAAAGCATTGTTGACGAATTACCAAAATAAATAACCTATGTATTGTATACAATATGAGAAAACTGGTCTTCTTCTTTCGAAAATGGAGCAGAGAAATATCCAATACTACAAAAGAATACAAAACAATACATTACAATGCTTAGTACAAGGAATGGATAACTTATGTTCCGGGAATCGAAGCGTAACGCTAATAAACTTTTACTCATTTATCGAATAAGTCATACCGAGTTGTAGGAAAAATTAATTGTTTTAGCTAGGTCAATGACCTTAGAGGTTTTGTTTCACTTTGTTTTATTCATTTTGTTGAAAATATAAGCGTGGAACAGCCATGCTTCGGCACGAATGGGTCGCCTCGACCGGAGTGATACCACGGCCTTACAGAAAACCGGCGTGAAACAAGAAAACCGGTGTGATTGACGTCACCGGGGGGCCAATCGTTCCCCTCCCCTAATCCCTAATTCTCCAAATCCCTAATCCCCAAAAGGTCGGCTACGCACTCGCTACTCCTCTGTTAATTGCTTACCATCAAATAATCCGGCTGATGAATCCGGCATCAAACAAATCTAATATTTTTGGGGTTTTAAGATTCAGTATGAAAGTGTAAAAAGGGAATCGTATAACTAAGAATCCGCCGGCCGTCCGACAGCATATTGCATCTAAGGAACCATGTTACCCAGGAAGGTGAAATTTGGACAGACTATTCAATTGTGTTGCCGCTATAAAAACAAAAACTAAAAACAAAACTTTATTTATTTTTAAACGATATTTATTTTGAAGCAGTAATGGAGTAAAGAGGCATAGCTCATGGATAAACTATCCTTCTCACACCAATAGCTGAGGTAGCTCACAATATAGGTTTCAGAGTAAACACTAACAAACAAAGCGGCGTTGTGTTTGTGCTACGCAATGCTGCGGGCTCGGCCCACGCAATATTATGTAAGATGTTATTTAATTTGTTAAACTTCGGCACTGTTGTATAATTCTAATAACACTGTAATAATGTCGAATAGCTGGAATGGCTGTATTAATTATTTTGTGGGATAAATGATAAGCAGGCTGACATATAACCTTATATTATATACACTTTGTATTATGTGGTGACAGAACCAAGACGGCACAATTGGGTGGCTCACATCGTCATCTATAAGTGCCCACTGCTGAGCAAATGCCTCTTCTCAAATAGAGAAGATTTGATCATTAAACACCACGCTTGCTCAAGGCGGATTGGCAATCACGATGTTTTCCTTCACCGTATGTAAGTGGTGTTTTAATAATCATAGAAATTACATATAGCTCGGAAAAAGTCGCACTGGTACTTGCCAGGTTTGTAACCTGCACCCTTAACGGGTTTCTTGGGTGACGAGAAAAGTAATCAGATGATTTTCGCTCATGAAAAATAAGTTTCAAAATAAAACGTCACTACACTCTCTTCCGTAGTAAGTCCTTTAAAATATGTCGATTCTATTCCCATTTTTGTCAATGAGGAAGAAACTTTTCAAAATTCCTAATACTTAACTACAAAGTCTGTTATGAATATCCTCACTCCAGTTTAATCAAAGCAATTAATTCTTACGTAGGTTTTTACTAAAGATTTCTTGAAATAATCTAATATAATACTAGACTAAAAGTGCCTATGTTATTAACGAACTTTAATGTAACTACATAAGTCTGCAATAAGCCAATTTGTACAATTAGTTGATTGTATACAATATATTAATAAACAAACAATGAATGACAAATGATTTATCAGTGAAGGTATATGCGCAACGATATAAAAATACCAAATCAGCAAGTTGCACGCGTCCGCCATTTTGTTATTATCAAATGCGCAAACGCATTGTATTACCCTGACTATTTGTTATAAGTAGAGTTATTTCAATTGATACTTAATTATATTATTAGCATGTTAGTCAATCACAACAAAACAAACTTCTATTATCTGCATTGGTATGGTATGACTGCACAGGTACAGTGGGTAGGCAACTGCCTGCCGCTCTACGTGTTGCAGGTTCGATTGCCACACGGAACAACTCTTTGTGTGATCTACAAATTGTTGTCCCGGTTCTGGGTTTAATGTGTTGAAAGCAAATCGTATCTATTTTTGTATCAAAGACATAGGAGAAAATCCTAGTGTGGGGCAACGTTTTATTTAAACAAAAATAAATATTATTCATATTCGTATTATTAAAACCTTTTCACCGTAGATTAATCAACCTATTATGAATAAATAAATCAGAAAAATTGTACCTATATGTACATTATTGTTATTTATTAATTATAATTATCACTGAATAAATACTCATTGTACCGAATGTCAATAACATAAAATGTATGAGTAATTGGAATTTTATGTTTACAGTTATGTCATTTTGAATTATAGCGACAATTTCTTGTATGTCACATAATGAGAAATTCAAGTGCAGGCTAAAGTTATTTTCTAGGAAAATGATTGTCTCCCATATCATTTG